AAGCCCCTCCCTGCCTGTCCCAGCCCCATGCCAATCTCAGAGATGGACCCAAGCTCCAGGTCCTGCTGCCTGGCACAGTGCACAGGACTACCCTGCCACTGACCCCACACATCTCCCCGGGCAGGTGGATAAAGTTTGAGGAGAAGGTGGAGGATGGTGGGGAGCGCTGGAGTGCACCCCACGTCCCAGTCCTCCCCCTGCACAGCCTCTTCCAGCTGAGGACATGCCTGGAGAAGGGGACGATGCTCCTGGATCTGGATGCCCCCTGTTTCAAGGAAATAATCGGTACGTGGGGAATGCAAAATCACATCCTGGGATGGGCTGGTCACCAGAGAGGGACCAGGCCACCAGGAGGTCCCTACATGAAAGCACTGATGCATGGTAACCAGGTACCTGGGGTGGCTGTCTGCTGCTCCATCAAAGTGGGCTTTCCCCTTGCACTGGGCAGCGAACCAGGGGGACTCAGGGCTGTCCCCATCCCTGTGGCAGACAAGGCACTTTCTGGGCAGCCTGAGGAAGCAGAGCTGCAGCCCGAGCTGAGGGAGCGCCTGGCAGCCCTCCTGCTCTGCCAGCCACGGCACCAGCCCACCAAATCCCGACTGCAGCACCTCACCGAGCTTGGCCTTTCTCCCTGCCAAGGTAGGCACGGTGCTTGGCCATGGGTGGCAACATGGCTGTCCCACCAGGCATCCCTCTGCTGCCACCAGGCTGGGGCAATACCCATACCGGCTGTTCACTTGCATACATATTTTGCTGCTTGCTCCCTTTCTTTGCAGGGAATTCCAAAAGATGGTTTGAGCCCAGAGCCCAGCTCTCCAAAACACCTCTTAAGGAGCAGGTAGGGCAGGACAGAGCTGGGCTGAGAGCAGCTGCTGCATCCTGAGTGCCCAGCTGCTGCATCCCCTTCCTTACAGCTGAGAAACCAATTTAAGAAGAAGGTCCCGCCAGGGGCCGAAGCAGCCCACGTTGCTGTTGGTGAAGTTGAATTCCTGGAGAAGCCCTTTACTGCCTTCATCCGCCTCAGGCGAGGGGTGTCCCTCGGCTCGCTGGCTGAAGTCGCTCTCCCCAGCAGGTAAACGGAGCATGGCCGATGTCCCTGTGTCCCTCTTTGTCCCTGTCTCCCTTCTCCCTCCTGCAGAGAACAAGGCTTTGCTTGGCAACAGCAAAGAGTATGGCACCTGATGCCACATGCAGTCCCAGAACCCTGGCTCACTGCTTCCCCTCCTGGTTTTCCCAGCTCCTTGGGAACATCCTGAGATGGGCTGAGAGTGGAACATCTGTCGGGCAGCTGGGTGGGGGGACGTCCCCTGGGTTATCCCCACCTGGGCTCTGCATTCACTCTCCTCCTTAGGAGGGTCTAGACGCTCTCTGCTTACTGCCCAGGAGCATGGGGGCTTGTGGCTGGGAAAGGATGCAGGTTTGCAGAAGCCTCTTGCCCTCCTGAGTGGTGGGGTGGCTCTTGCAGCACGGTTGGTGTAGGGGGAAAGGAGCAGGGCAGGAGGTGTTTCTCCATGGCTGAGGAAGGCATCATCTGAAGCTGTGAGGGGAAATGGTCAGTGTGCCCCTTGAGCCAGGAGCTTCCTTAGGGAGTGTGCGGAGGAGGCAAGCGGAGATCAGGAGGGACATCGCCACCTCCTGGTCACTCTGCCCAGAGCACCCGTCCTCCAGGAGCTGTGTGGAGCAGGGCATCCATCCACCTCCTGCTCTCTCCTTGGTGGGAGATGGGTGGCAGGTCCCGGGGAGCCCCCGTGGGTCTCGAGGGGCTCGTGACAACCCCTTGCCCTGTATTTTCCTCCTCCAAACTGGAAGGGAAGGAGAGCTTGTCCCTACCCATCCTTTTGCCCGTGGTGCCATCCCCTTGGTTGGCTGCCCCAGACTGTCCCGTGGGCACAGCCACCATCTCAGGGCTATCTCCCACCCAGGTCCATCTCTAGAATCTTAAGGTTTTCCCATTACCGTGATGAATATGTCTGGTTGAAAGCAATCCCAGGTGGTTACTGTCACCTCCCCACCCCTTGGAGCAGGCTCCAGGAGGCCTCCAGCACTGATGCCCCATGTCAGGGCTGCAGCAGGTCCTGTTGAGCCACCTTCAGCCCCGCTCATGCTGTCGGAGGAGTTTCCCTACTCTCTCTTTGGAGGTTTGCTTGGGGTATGATCACTTGGAAGTGCTCCGCAGCCTCGGGGTACCACGACCATAACCATTTTTGCCAGTTTTGGAAAGAAATGGAGGGCTTGGTTAAATATTTGGATGGGCTGTCCCTCTGGAGACCTTATTATTTTGCAGCACCCTCTGAGGAGTGGGATTTTAGCCATATTTCTTCAAGGATGCTGAGCCCTCTTTCCAGTCTCCTCCTGTGTCCCCGTAGTCCTATCAAATCTACTGCCTGTGCAGCTCACAAGCTCTTCTTCCAAATGCTAATGCTCCTGCATCCTGTCTGTGAGCAACATTCCCATGAGCATGACCCCAAAGACCACCCCAGTCAAGACCTTGAACCCACAGAGAGCCCCATCCTGGAGCTCAACCCCACAGACAGCCCAGTGCCAGAGCCTGACCCCATAGACACCCCCAGCTGAAAGCATAACCCCACAGACATCCCCAGCCAAGGATAACTCCTTCTTTGCCTCAAAGAGCCACCCCCCAGCCCCAGCCTGGGTTTCTGCAGACCCTGTGATCCAGTCGGGGTCCTGGTGCCCAATGGTCTCCCATGCGGTTTCCATGCAGTGGGTAGCAGACACGTGGCTTGTCTCCTACCCCCGAGCCCCCGCTTAGGGTGGCAGCAGCCCCCCAAGTCTGCCCAGCCACTGTCCCCAGCATCCCCACAGCACCATGATCTCCCCCAGGAGAAACATCCCCCGGTGAGGAGAGGGCTTCTCAGGAGATGTGCCGTCTCTCCCACAGGTTCCTCTTCATTCTGCTGGGTCCCCGAGCCAAAGTGAAAGCCTACCACGAGGTTGGCAGGGCCATGGCCACGCTGCTGGCAGATGAGGTGAGCCTGGTGCAGCACCCATGGGTGGGATGGGCCTGGGATGAGGCCTAGGCTGAGGACACTCCTCTCCTCCGCAGGCTGCAGCAGGGGAGGCAGAGGATGGGGCGAGCTGGTGGCCTCCCTTGCCCAGGATAAGAAAACAAAGGTTTGGGGTGGGTCTGTAGGATGTAGGTGCACTGTTGCACTGAGGTGGATGGGTGCCTTTCTTGGTGATGGCCGCAGACTGGGAGGAAGGCTCTGAGTGGCTGAACGCAGGCTGGTGGCTAAACCACAGCATCTTCCTGCAGTTCTTCCAAAGGGTTGCCTGGCAGGCTGAGCA